ATTGGTTAGCCCGGTGATGGGTATTAAGGAGGGCACGTACTGCATGGAGCACTGGGTGTTATACGAAAACAATGGATCGTGAATCACCACATCAAAAACCAATGATGTATTGTATGGTGGCTAACATAACATAAAAAAAAAAAAAAAAAAAGGAGAAAAATCATATGATCATCTCAATAGGTGCAGAAAAAGCATTTGACAAAATACAACATCTATTCATGATATAAACACTCAACAAATTGGGTATAGAAGGAACACACTTCAATGTAATAAAGGCCATACATGACAGACCCACAGCTAACAACATACTCAACTGTGAAAGGTTTAAAGCTTTCCTTCTATGATCAGAACAAGACAAGGATGCCCACCCTCACCACTTTTACCGAACCCAGTACTTGAATTCCTAGCCAGAGCAATTAGGCAAGAAAAATTAAAGGCATCCAAATCAGAAAGGAAAAAGTAAAACTGTATCTGTTTGCGGATGACATGATCTTATATATAGAAAATCCTGAAGACTCCACCAAAAAATTGTTAAAACAAATTCAGTAAAGTTTCAGAATGTGAAACCAACATACAGAAATCAGTTGCATTTCTATACACTAATAACAAAATATCTGAAAAAGAAATTTAAAAAAACCCAATCCTATTTACAATAGCATCAAAATCAATAAAATACTTAGAAATAAATTTAACCAAGGATATAAATGATCTACTCACTGAAAACTAAGACACTGATGAAAAAACTTGAAGAAACACAAAGTGGAAAGATATCCTGTGTTCAAGGATCAGAAGTTAGTATTATTAAAATGTCCACACTATGCAAAGCCATCTATATTTAATCCCTATCAAAACCCCAATGGTATTTTTACAGAAATAGAAAAAACAATCCTAAAATTTGAATGGAACCATAAAAGAGCTAGAATAGCCAAAGCAATCTTGAGAAAGAACAAAACCGGATGGAGGCACCATGCTCCCTGACTTCAAACTTTTTACTACAAAGCTAAAGCAATCAAAACAGTATGCTACCAGCATAAAATCAGAGACACAAGGGAACAGAGTTGAGAACCCAGAAATAAACCCATACAATATGGTCATCTAATATTTGACAAAGGAGCCAAGAATACTCAATGGGGAAAGGATAGTCTCTTCAATAAATGGTGTTGGGAAAACCGGACCCCTCTCTTAACACTATTCACAAAAATTAAAGACTTAAACCTAAGACCTGAAACCATAAAACTCCTGGAAGAATACATAGGTAAAACACTCCTTGAAAGCAGTCTTGGAAATTTTGGTTATGATACCAAAAGCACCAGCAACACAAGCAATAATCAGCAAGTGGGACTACACTGAACTAAAGAGCTTCTGCACAGCAAAAGAAACAACAAGAAAAGGCAACTATGGAATGGGTAAAAATATCTGCAAACCATGTACCTGATAAAGGGTTAACATACAACATATATAAGGAATTCATACAATTCAAGAGGAAAAAAATATATAATCCAATTTAAAAATGGACAGAAGACTTGAACTGACATTTTTCCAAAGAAGACATAAACGGCCAACAGGAACATGAAAAGGTGCTCAACACCACTACTCCTCAGGGACATGCAAATCAAAACCACAATGAGATGTCATCTCACACCTGTTAGGATGGCTATTATAAAAAAGACAAGAGATGACAAATGTTGGCAAGGGTGTGGAGAAAAAGGAAATATTATGCACTGTTGGTGGGAAGGGAAATCGGCAGTTACTGTGAAAACCAATATGGAGGTTTCTCAAAATTAGTAACAGAACTAGCATGTGATCTAGGAATCCTACTTCTGGGTATATACCTGAACAAGATGAAATCACTATCTAAAAGAGATATATATGCACTCCTGTGTTCACTGCAGCATTATTCAAAATAGCCAAGATATGGAAACAGCCTAAGTGCCTACTAACAGATAAATGGATAAAGAAAATGTGGTATAAATACACAATACAGTATTATTCAGCCATAAAAAAAAAAAAAAGTAATCTTGCCATTTGTGATAATATGGATGGACCTTTAGGGCATTATGCTAAGTGAAATAATCCAGACAGAGAAAAGACAGTGTATGATCTCACATATGGAATCTAAAAAAGCCAAACTCCTAGAAATAGAAAGTAGAATGGTGGTTGTCAGGGGCTGGACGGGAAGGGGAAATACGAAGATGATGGTCAAAGGGTACAAATTTTCAGTTATAAGATGAATATGTTTGGAGGATCTAATGTACAGCATGGTGACCATACTTTTTTTTTTTTTTTAAGATTTTTTTTATTT